AACGATTATGAAAAAAATCATTCGTGCGAGAGATAAGGGTGTTAAGTATGATGTGCATTGGAATGAAAGAGATCAATTAGTTGAGCCTAACGGTGCGATGCTGACAAGTTACATTGGAGCACTTGTACGTTCGCAAATTTCGATTACTTGCGATAATTGGAGAATTGAGTCGCCAAAACCGGCTAAAGAAAAAACTTGGAGCGAGATACAGGTATGATACTTGATTATTTTTAATTATGTTGACGGTTACATCTTTAAATTAATTATACTAACATGTTATATGTATGTGTATTTGTTTGCAGAGATCTTTTAATATTGATGATTGTAGAAGAAAATATTGTCTTCAATTGGCCGATAAACGACTGAGGGGATTCAGAGTATTTTTAAAGAACAAGTTTCTCAAAGATTCTGATGGAAACTTTGTTGACTCGGAGCGTCCAAAGAAGTACGTTGATCTAATTTCGGAAGAAGAATGGGAGACATTTGTTGCGAAGCGAAGAACCAAAGAATTTTTAGTAAGTACAACTTATCATGAATAATGTATAGTATGTATACTTTTTCCACAAGAGTTCTGATATGACTTAAACTTGTTTTTTCAGGTTGTGAGTGGCGTTAATCGGCAACGGGCATCAAAACCCGCGTATCCATACAAAAAAAGGCGTTTGGGATATGCACGCTTAGAACAAAAAATAGTAAGTATATATAAATGCTTTAATATGATATAGTTATCAAAATTAGTAAGTATATATAATAGGATATGAATGGTTTATTATCCGTCTTAATGCGCAGATAGAAGAGGAGAAAAGTGATGTGACATCTCTTCCGGACCATGTTGTGTGGAAGGCTGCCCGTGTGGGAAGAGATGGAGTCGTTCAGGAAGAAGTTCAACAAGTGTTTGAACGATGTGTAAGTACAACATTAGTTTTGTCAGTAACTGACCAAAAGTGTATAATATATTTATATATGCTTTTATCTATATTTCAGGATACTCTATCCCAGAGTATAACTCCAGCTGAGGACGAGGATTGCAGGAGCATACTGAGTCGGGTGTTAAATATCCCTGAGTATTCTAGGCGTGTGAGGGGTAAGGGATTTGGCGTCACTCCACCACAGCTGTATAAGAAGCCAAAGCAAAAAATTCCTAGCAATAAAGAAGTGATGGATACGTTGGAGGAATTGAAAGCTCAGATTCGGGAATTACAGAAGGACAAAGAAAGATACATGTCGGAAAGGCGCAGTCCAGAGGGTAAAGATGCTAGTGAAAAAGATAGTATCGGTTGTCCGCAGAAGCTTCCAGAGGTAATTGTATATATTACATTGAAATTAATTTAGCACAATTTTCTAAATTGACACATTAATCGGCATCATTATTTGTTTAGGGCATTTCACTTTGTCGGCTATATTTATCGTCACCGACTTATCGCTTGGTTGGCAAGGGAAAGGTGCATAACAATGTGGGAGAATTACTTCACCATAAACCGCTCCCTCCTAGATTTTTAAAAGTATCGGTTGATATTGCGTTAGAGGGGGGTGCGTTGTTGCCTATACCAGATGAAGTTTCATATGCAACAGTGGTGGGAGACGCAATAGGAGCGTATGTTGCATGGCCGGCAAATCTCATTCACATAGATGATGAGGTATGCTGAACACCATTATGAACCTAGCTTATAATAATCAAATGTTTTACGACCCATAGATGAAAGTTATTCTTACATTTACATTTTTTTATTTACATGATGATCTTAGACTCCTACAAAATCCAAATCAAAAGATGATAGAATTATTATGCGGGATACCGATTCAGCTACATCAAAGAAACATGTACTAATACAGTTACATGGTTATCTTATTATACATTAATTACTGAACTTATATATGACTTTTAGGTTCATGATCAGCAGTTGCAACAAGTCAGCAAGGGTAAGATGCCTGAAACTTCCAAGGTGCCCAACGAAAAAAAAACCTAGTCAAAAAAAGCATCTGTTCCTCGATTTAGGATGTGCCTTGAAACATATTTAGGAACAACAAATGTGACTGAGGGTGGCATCCGTCAAATAGCTATGGAGGAAGGTATTTTCAGTTTTGAATATCCCGAAACACTTGCTAAGGAGGATTTTGACCAGGTTTTCCAACATTCTGAATTGGGCGTCGGTGTTATACATTCCTACATCAGGTACTCCGATCCATTTTAATTAAATAATTGAACATTTTAAAATTTGCTCATTTAACTGAATATTCTAATGTTGATTATGTTTTTCTTTTAGGCTCCTGTATGACAAGTTGTTGGTTCCGCATGATTTGACTTCCATATTCACACTCTTATCCGCTAGTTGTATCAACGCACGGGCAATTAAGCACACACCAGATGCAGTCAAAGATTACATGGTCCAAAGATTTATGGCCGCGACTACAGAGAAGTTGTTCTTGTTGCCATATAATACTGGCCATGGATTAGACTTTATTCTAAATTCCTTTATTATAATTATTCGATTTTTGCCATTAATCTATATAACATTTCCGTCTAAATTGTTGTCTTATTTTATAGTGGACACTGGTTGTTGGTCGCGATTAATCCGATGAAAGAAATAGTGTATTATATAGATTCATTGGATGACGATACAACAAAATATCTTGATCTGAAGAACATGGTTGATACGTAAGTGATGAGATATACTGTTCTGAATAGTTATATATCTTTATTTATTATGTGACATTGTTCTAAATATGCGTTTATATTATGTTAGAGTTATACAAATATTCAGAGCACAAAGAGATGCAACAGTGCCGAAAAGCAAGGCTAACAACATCAGTTGGATCAGAGTGGAGGTATATTTTCCCATGTTTGACTGTTATAGTGGTTCTACTTGATAAAACTATTTAAACTATATATCCTGATAAATGTTCGTTTGTTTTTCCATTTACAGTGTCCTCGTCAGCGCAATGGGATTGACTGCGGATATTTTGTATTGCGCTTTATGAAGGAAATTATTCTTTCAGGTCAAATAGAGATTCCAATCATGGTATGGATCAATTCATAAGTTATATGATTTTGATAATTATTCGATATTTCATCTGAGTAATTAGTTTTAAAATTAAATCGTGCATGTTCTGTTATATTATGTAGTACTTTGATGAATACAAGTGCGGTACTTACTCGAAAGCAAGATTGAAAGAAATTAAGGAGGACTGGTGTCAATTTATTCTTGAGTTGAGAATTGTATAACGTATCTATGTGTAAAGTTATCAGATTTGTAATTATTTGTAAATTGAATGTATTTGTGATGTTGTAAATTGAATGTATTTGTGATGTTGTAATATATTTAAGCAGGTTTATGTGTATTAAAATGGTTATGGGTAAAGTGATGAATACACATAAATAAGGCCAAAGTAATTGTTATATATAAGGCCAAACTGTTGAATTAAAAGTCTGAATTATAAGCAGGGAATGTAATTGTTATAAGCAGGTTTATCGAAAAATATATAAAAAATGTGATTATTTAAAAAAAAAATTTAAATCGTGAAGAATAAACAACACTTTTAAAAAAAACGCTGCTAAAGGGGGCAAAGAGACGCTAAAAAAGTGCTGCTATAGGTTGGAAAATGGAGGGGTCTAAGAAAGCGCTTTAAAAAAGCACTGCTAAAGGGGGGGTCAAACAAAGCGCTGCTAGAAAGGGGGGGGGGGGGGGGGGGGGGGGCTAAGACAACGCTTTTAAAAAGCGCTGCTAAAAGCGTTGCTGAAGGGAGGGGAATGGGGAATAGGCATCGCTTTTAAAGCGCTGCTAAAAGCGTTGCTGAAGGGAGCCTTTAGCAGCGCTTTTTCAATAAAAAAAGGCGTTGTCTTTACCTTTAGCAGCGCCACTTTTGGCAGCGCTTTTAAGCGCTGCTAAAGGGCAAAAAAAACGTTGCTAAAGGTCTTTTTTGACATAGTGAGTTTGAGGAAGAATATAAAGTTTGTTTAAATATATCTTAAAAAAAAGTGAATGAACTAAGATCGTTATATATCTTTAAAAAATAATATTTTCCTACTTTTCATCAAAATTGTTATTAAGTATTATAGTGAAAATTATTTTAATAAAAAAAATATAAATATTTAAATATTATCTATTATTTCGATTGATTAAATAACTGAAATAATAACATATTACGAAATGTATAATACTGTGTTTGTAACTTAATCTACACACTTTGGAAGTTGAAAAGGATCTTTGGAATATAGAATCAATTTGATTAAATGATCTACATAGTTATATACATGGAAGACTTTAACAAACCTGAGACATATACATGACTTGCATAAAAAGTCATTTAAAATTACTAACTTTTAACCAACTACAGTATTAACAAATTGATGGTTAACTACTTTTAAACTAAAATAACAACTCAATGCCTCTTGACTAAGACGACTCAGTTGATGAAGAATCCGTCCGTCTCATTTATGGACCACAATCGCAAAGAGACTTTTAGTCATAGATCTATATATTTATAATAAATCAATATGAATCAAGTTTTTTATAATTATATTATTTAGTTCTTCACTAAAAGTATAATCCTTGTATATTGAACATGCATTTTAATAATTAATTATTAGTTATACAATTAATCCCAACACTCGTGTCTTCGTCTAAGTTAGTCCATCGTGCAAAGGCATGAATCTACAGATACAATTAGAACCTTATGGAGATGAAATAAACCCAATAAATAGGACATCATATGATAGAAATAATTTATAGAAACTCCACTCGTTACATATATAGTCTTCAAATATAATTAACTTATTTTCTCCCAAGTAATTACATTGTTAAAAGATATATATAATTAATTAACACGTGAATACAATATATAATACAAAAGAAAGAAAATATGTATATTTGAATTGGTGGTATAGAATATAACAGAATTGAATGGTAATGATATATGATATGAAATGATGTAACATCAATATTTTATAAACTAAGAAGCCTATTTTATTTCTTTCTATACCACCAATCTAAACATTACCTTTAAATAAAAAAGCTGTTATGAATATCACTCCCTTGTTTAGCATTGTTAATTGAAGAGCTAGGACAATTCTTATCATTCAGAAGTTCCTCTATCATTTGAAGTGCAATTCTATCCTCTTCATCAATCTCTCCTTGCATGATTTCGTCTCCGGTCGCCACCATCGACGAATGCACAACACTACTATTAATACTAGTGCTAGTGCTACCATTATCTTCAATCACATTCTTATTTTTTCCAAGTTGAACAGTCATAACCCAATTCGAATCAGAACATTTCCCAGCACGTTTTTGCCACACACCAATGTGAGAGTTTTCTGTGTCTAACCTCAAACAAGTCATGGAAGGAGATGGTAACTTCCCACATTTCCGAAGCTTGGCATGCAAGATTTCTTCTAGATCCTTCGAAGAACTCGAATGCTTGTCCTTATCAGTAGTTACACTGCTCTTCGGATCACCTTCCGGAGTTTGTGTTATCGGGAAATTCGTTTTCGCATTTCGACCACTCATTAAAATCGCAGCTTGATCATATGCTCTTGCTGCTTCCTCGGCTGTCTCAAATGTTCCCAGCCACACCCTTCTCTTCCTATTTCAAGTCATAAAAGTAAATAATTTAAACTAATAGCATGTGTCAATATCACTAATATGATTATCAATGTCTGACACCGACACGGAGACAGACACGAGGAAAGAATAAGAAGCTTACAAAAGTGGATGACGAATTTCAGAAACCCAAGAACCCCAATGACGCTGCCTGACACCTCTGAACTTTTTGGATTGAACCATGATGGTAAAGTACAGAAATAACAGAATGCAAAAAGATTGTAGATATAAAGGGATATAGATGGATGGATGGAAGAAGAAAGCAAAGAAAGTGAGTTAGTGAGCTGTGTACACTGTCGGCGAACTAAAAGGTAAACACAACAAACTATTAAACAGTTTCACCTAAACAAGTACCTATAAAATAAATGTTTGTGCTTAACTTTTGTTGCGCAGTTGTTGGAAACAGTACTTTTTTTTACTTTCTCTCTTATATTCCGCATGCATGTTAACTGATATGACTTCACTGCGATTCTATTAGTACATTGCCATTATTAGGTGGAGTCACTAGAAAAGAGTAGTCACTCGGTTGTTAGCCTAGCTTTATTTTTATGGGGATAGCATAATTCAAAGGGGTTGATGAAGGTATTTAAGTTGCATGTGGTCTATAATTTGTGATCAATTATTAACCTATGAGTTAAGTTAAGTTAGTCACAGCTTTTTTATTAGACTAACTTTATTATAAAGTGGAGTTTTAATGTGAGCGGCTTTTATTTCTTTTAATAACGTTACTAATAATGTTGACCAAAAAGAAAAGACGTTCTAATAATGAAAGGTTTATTATCCAACGGATAATTCAACATAGCTGAGGGGGTTGAGACTGTATTTCTAAAATGGCAAAATAAATATTATTAAAGGAAGGGGTAAAATATCTAACAAAGTACACAAAGATCTAATCAAATAGTATAATAAGTAAAATTTAGATAGAAACAATAACATTTGGTTTTACAAATAATCCATCACAATTTTTTATTAATTAAAAAATAAAATATTCTCTCTTCTTCATTATCACAATTACTATATGATTCCAATTAAAAAAAATTTTAATTTTTAGATAAATGTAAAATTTTTCCTTTTTTTATTTGTTGGCTTTAAGAATAAAAATTTAATTTCATTTTTATGCAAGTTTTTCTCCGTGTATCATAAGATAACACAAAAAAAATTGTGTAAAAAAAAAACAAAAAAAGGAGAACAAAACTAACACTTTAAGATGAACAAATCTATCCAATTCAAATCAAACTTAATCCTAAAAAAAAAAACCCAAACTAAAAAATGAGTCAAGTTAGAACTCAAGTTAACGGTACCGCCAACAACAAAATAGAGTCAAAGAGAAGAAAAACAAAGCCACACTCACTCTAGAATAAACTAGGAATGTCGGCACTCTATTGATTAATCTAAAGGATTGAATTCTAAACTCAGTATGAGAAGGTGCATGAATTCCCTCATATTTATACAATAACCATTTTTAAAACAAAAAAAAAATCTTCCAATTCTTTCATGTTTGTTATTGAATTAGAAAAGATAATTTCATTTTGAGTCCTCCAAATAGTTCAAACAACATATGTCAAATCATAGCAAAACTACCTGTAAACTTAAACATAACAAGAAATAGGACATTCAAAAAGGAGTCTAGGATGTTTAAGAGGAGTTGTTTGCCACCCCAACCACTTAAAGATCTTATATAAAATACTAGTAACTACATACTACATCATAGGCGGCGAACAGCTCGGAAGTCGACTCAACCAAATCACCACAAAACGGACAAGAAATATCAATCGGGTCAGCAATCACCTTTCTCTTGAACAAATTTTATATTTAAGACAATCTACCGAAAAAATTTTTCCAAACGAATATAGTCTCCCAAACAGAGGCCCAACTACCCCAAATAATTAAAGGGAAGAATTATGTTGGTAGAAGATAAGGAAATTTCAAGAGAGTTAGAAATATTAAACAAATCATGATATGAAAAAGACGCCGAGAATAGATCGTCCTTTGCAAACTTTCAAATTCATTGATCCCTTTCCACGGAGAAAATATTATTTTGAAGAAGAGCAAGGAAGTTTCACCAACTAGTTCCTCGTGAACGAAGAACGACCTTTTCCACCTGAAATTTGAATTAAGCGTCGCATATATCCACTTACCTATCTATCACACACTCCCCTCAGGATAATTAGTGATAATAAATAACCGAGGGAACCTACTTTTAAGAGGGTTACTACCAACCCAAAGATTTGCACAAAAAGAAGTTTGAAACTCTAATCCTATTTTCTTGGCATGCCATCCATAAATTAGATAGATGGGTCTTCTTCTTTTAACCCAATGAGGGACACTCCTTTTCACTAAGAGGAAGCGTTTCATAAGCCCGAAACTCTATCCCCATTAAACAAGGAGACAAATAGATCACCATATCTAGCAAGTAACATATCCCGCCAAAGACTAAAGGCTTATGAGATGAGCCTCCACATCCATTTAGCCAAAAGAGCTTGGTTAACAAGGTGGAAATCCTTAACCCCTAAACCACCTTTTCTCTTAGGTTTATAAACCTTTACATTTTACCCAAAAGGTTTTGGTGTCTCCCTTCACACCTCCTTAGAGAAATTTTCTTTGGATCCGCATAATCTTCCTCCAAACCATCATTAGTAATTTAAAAAAAATAAGTAGGAAGAAGATATGGATATCATTAAGCATAAAATTAAGCAAAACAACATGGCCCCATATACTTACATATTTATGCTTCCAAAAATTTAGTCTTTTAGATAGAGAATTAATAAGAGGATCCAAGTTGCCTTTCAACAAAGAATAACCCCTATACGTAGCCCTAAGTTTTTAAAAAATATGGGTTCAAGCTTACAGGGAAGAAAGTCACAATCCATAAAAACATGATCCTCGTTAACCTCTATCTGGATACTCTTTGGAAAAAAATACCAGAAGGCTCAAAGATAGTTCAAAACTGTAACACCCCAAATTCTTGGAATATTTATTTAATTTATTTAAATATGAATATTCGTATTTTTGGTGATTTTCGGTGGTTGGTGTGAATATTGGGAATTATGGATTTTTGAGTTATTTATTTAAATAATAGTATATAATATGAATATATTTGGTATTATTATTAATTTTAATAAATATAAGTTAATTTAAGGGCAAAGTGGACATTTGAGAAGGAGTTAGTGAGAGTGAAATTGGAAAACCCATTTTAAAGGCGCAAAGTTAGGTTTAACAAAAAGGAATTTTGAGGGAATTGGGATTCATTCTTGTTAGACCATGAAAAGGGAAGAAGTACAGGCCAGAGATCTAAGGAAGAGGATTGAGGTAAAGCTTCGCGAGGTTTTCAAGAATCAAGAAGAAAGGCTTAGAGTCGGCAATTAAGGTATGAGGAGTATTTCTTCATTGTTTTCAATATGTGATTCAATGTATTTAAAGCTGATTTAAGAATTTAGGAGGTTTTTGAGTTTGAGGAAAATTAAGACTTCGTGTCCAAATCTGTTTTTGAGGTTGTTTAAGTATGGAGAGTATTACCTTCATTGTTTTCAATATGTGATTCAATGTATTTAAATCTGATTTAAGGGTTTAGGGATTTTGAGTATTGAACTGTTATTGCCTTTCTGGTGAGTTTAATGAGTTTGAGGGATTTGAACTGATGGTCTGATAGGTTTGAGGCTGATTGACAGTATGGGAAATTAGGCATCCGTGGCCAAAATCTGTTGTTGAGGTTTTAACCGTATTGGGTAATTGATTATGATAACTCTAATGAATGTGAGAAAATTGTAAGGATTTTATGGGAATTGGAGGCGTAAATATGATACGGGATTGGCCTAATAAGTCGTAGATTTTGTGCATTTATCACCGTAATATCTTAGGAATGATTGAGGGATGTTTTGGGGGTATTGGGGAAGGAAATCGTAGGGACTTTTGGGCTGGTTTTGCTACTGGTGCGTAACAGCATTTTGCTGTAATCACGAGTTTGCACAGCGAACAATCCTTCTTACAACGAACACTCGCCTTAGACTCGCACGACGAACTGTCCAGTGAATGTAGCAGAGTTTCGTGAATTGTGTTCTTGTGCAGTGTTGTCTTGATGCTTTGATGCTTTGATGCTGTGATTTTCTGGATGAATTACCTTGAGTATGACCCTGATTCATATGTGATTAATACACGATTGTATGATGATTCCTATGAGTAATGATGATGAGTTATGATGTTGATGCCATGAGTTTTTGATGATTATATGATGACATGATTATTATGATAATTTTGATGAATGATGATGCACCTAATGAGTTTATTATGAGGATGATATTGACGTGTGCATCATGCATTCATATGCATTCCGGACTTCGATCTAGTGTTTGATTCTTGTGGCTTCAGTCCCATTGTGCGGATGTGAAGTATTTTGTTGTGCTCCGGTTCTTGTGTAGAATCAATCCTATTGATGGGGATATATGGAGGGTTGATGGCCCAGTGTCCATCAAACTTTGATGAATTGGTACCACATGCATGAGTCTTGTTGCATTTGCATTTATGTGACAATTTGGTGTAATTTATGATATTATGGCTTTTTGATGTTTTCTTGATGATTATGATGATGTTGAATACGAAAATGACGCTATTTTATATATTGATTATTATGACTTATTTTACTTACCCTGCCTGTTTGAATGTTGTCTCCACGTGGGTAACGTGAAGATGACCAGGTTTAGCCGTGGATGCCGTCGAGGATTTTTTTGGAGTTTTTGACTTTTGGATGACTTAGAGGGTCTTGCTCTGATAGTGTAACATCGGATTGGGGTCTTTGAGTTAAACCATGTTTTATTGGTTATTGTTATTTTAATTATGTTGCTGTGCAAGGAAAACTTTGGATTTTGCCTTTTTGAGTTCCGCTGCCTTTTGAGCAATTTTTGAGTAATTTTGGGAAAACTCGTTGTTTACGAAACATTGACTTTTATTTGAGTTATTGAGAAATGTACGCCCTTTGAGGTGATTTTTATTGTGTTTAATATTTTACTCTGATAAATGTGATTGATTTGCCATTATATTTGTGGGGTAGAAAAGGGTGTTACAAAAATCCTTAAGAATAACCTTTATACTCCAAAGATTATCAATTTAAGGATCCGCCAAGATACGAGTATCATTCGTACGCTGAAGATGGGAAACCACCTAATTGGAGTTTCCTACCATAAAACTAA